GTAGAGTACACAATGCCAATTCTCAGATTACAGAACATCTCTCTAGTTTCCTAGTCTCCTCCTCCCATGCCCACCTCCAGGACTTCTCCAGGGCGTCACCCATACTCTGGAACTCCCTACCCCAATCCATCAGACTATCACCTTCTCTCCTCTCCTTTAGGCACACCCTGAAAACCCACCTCTTCAGGGAAGCCTACCCCGGCCTCTGCTAATTCCCGACCTCCTCCACTCTTCCTACCACTCCATCCCCCACAGCTATTTCCTCCTGTACCACTACTATCCCCTCCCTCCTAGATTGTAAGCTCCAAGGAGCAGGGCCCTCGAACCCCTCCTGTATCGCATTGTATTGTTATTGTACTGTCGCATGTTCTGTCTCCCATTGTAATGTACAGCGCTGAGCGAACTGTTGGCGCTTTATAAATACTATATAATAATAATAATAATCTTGCAGTTTTCTTTTGTTTTCAACTATATTGGAATGTTGCAAAATTGCATTCTGTTCATCGAAGTGTGTTTTGATGTCTTGCATCGGCCCATGCTGCAGTGATAAAAAGTAGTGCACGTCTTACTTTTTTTTCAAAACACACCATTGCCTTGTCCATGTATTGGGACTATGCTAGGCAAGGGAAATATATTTTTGTTTTGATGTAGAAAGCCCTTCCATGTTCACCTTACTCCAAAAGCTAGTTAAAAGTCAGGGCAGTTCCTGTTTTTGTTTAAAGGCCAATTTTTGTTTAACTTGTTTAAGTTGAATTGTTCATTTATGTTCATGCCAGGAATCTTGGGCTACACTGCCAAACATGCCTGGTGTGCATAGGCCCTTCAGTAAGCACTTGAACCCTACCGATATTCAAATATGTTATTATTAGGCTAGATAAAAGATTTCAGGCAAATGAAAAATTTAAATTTTACCTATTACAGCTGTTGAGAATGCTTAGCCAGAGGTTATCTAGAGAGTTTGAGGAGTATTTACAGCAATAGGATCATTGCCTGGTTCAACCACAGATGCTTAGATTGGGTAGAGAACATCTGTAAGCACTTTAAACAAATTTGGGACCTTATGCTTGGCTGCTAACTCACAGCAATAGCCTGGCCAGCAAAATTACATAAATGTTAAATATCTTGGCTTCTTTAGAGGCGTGGGATTTTTTATTTAATGTATAATTGTGCATGATATCAGCACCACTGTCAAATATTGCACACATCACAACAACCCAGACCAAGCCTACATACATGAAAGTCAAACTAAACACAGAAATGTACAATATTGAAGCTTATCAGTCCTTAGGTGTGGTGGCTGTATTGGTTTCTTGTATTTGTATTTTGATAGGTGCTAAGAGTAGATCTTGCTTACTGCATTGAATGGAGCTGTATTTTTGTTAAGTAAATTTAACTTGTCTCACAGTAATTAGCGTGACTGAAATTTCTGGGTTAAGCAAATTTAGCTCTAGCTCACTGTAGTAAGTGCAGCTGCATGTGATTTGTTAGGTTTGATCTGTGTCTCACAGGCTGCAGGTTTATTTGCACTCACTCTATATCTTCAGAACTTCCTGGACAGTTCTGGAACATAGGTGTGGAGTAGCATGAATATTTATACAATCCCAGGCTATCTTTATGGGCCCTGTACAGGTGGCTGCTGGGAAACGAGTATAAACAGTCTGAGACCTGGGGCAGTCTTGTCTTGTCCTGGAGAGGAGAATTCCATCCCGGAGGGCCTGCTGCCCTTTGGGCAGTTCTGCCATGTACTTGGTGTTCTTGAGGCCTCAGCTGGAATAGCTCAGTGGCCTGGATGCTGAAAGTTGCTGGAAGCTGACTAAGGGGCTGTCATCTGTGGATCTAGTCTGAGGTCACTGGTAAAGGTGTTTGGAAAACATTGGAAGGAGGCATTCATTTGACTGAAGCATTTCTGAGTACAGACTGGTGTGAGAGATACTAGAGACTGTGAGCTGTTGCCACCCATTTGGTGCTAGAGAGTCAGCTGTATGGGTAAAGGGGATACCGGCTGGTATCCTGAAGAGCTTAGTTCACCCTGTTCTGAGTTTAAGAGACACTGCTGAAAATGCTAAAGGAAGGACATTTGTGCCTTCATCTGCTTCATCTAAGCCAAATTGAACACTTGCCACTACTGGGGCTGTTCTTTCAGTGCTGCAGAAGAACATTTAGTGTCTTCACCTTATATAATTATTTTTGGAGCATTCTACTCATCCTCATCCCTATTCAAGTTACCCCCTATAAATAAAAACACAAGAAAGAACTTCTCTGGACTGTTTACTGAGCCAATGAGTGACTTTGATTGTGTGCCTGGCTGCAGAGCAAAATTTGGGAAACTACTTCTGGGACATATCCATCTGCTGGTTTTCTACAAGGGGACCACTACCATTTGGGAGCTTGTTCTGGGATTTTTCCCTGAAAAACTGCTGTGGTTGCTATTGGCAATGGATACAAGAGACTTTCAGTGTCATTGTGTGGTGTCATGAGGATTGTGGGGAGGCAATGCATGGGGAAGTCTTGTGCCACAGCAGAGAATGCCTGCTCTACAGTATAGACCACTGCCAGTGCAGAAGCATTTCCAAGTGGTGACAGTGAAAGAATTAACATGCAGCATGGGAGTAAGAGTGCCAGTGAAGTCTGCCTATGGACAGGGAAGGTTACTGCCAGTGTGTGTGTGCTACAGAGGAAAATGTCTGTCCTACAGTAAAGACTGTTGCCAGAGCAGAAGGATTTTCAGTCATTGGCGGTGAAGGAGTTAACCAAGGATGCAGGAGCAAGGGTGCCAGTGGAGTTTTCTTGGGGATAAGCAAGGCTGCCACCAGTGAGTATGTTACTGCAGATGCTGACTGCTTTACAGAAAAAGGCTGTTGATGCCAGAGCAGGGGCGGACTGACAACTCATGGGGCCCCCGGGCACTAGGGGATCATGGGGCCCCTGTGTCATTGCCTACACTTAAAACACACCCAAAAAAGCCTATAAAAAAAAAAGGTACCAGGGGCACTTCATGGGGCTCCCTACTGACCCCGGGCCCTCGGGCAGTGCCCGAGTGCTTGAATGGTCAGTCTGCCCCTGTGCCAGAGTATTTATGGCATTGGTAATAGTAATGGTGGCAAAGCAGTTAATGTATGGCGGGAGGAGAGAGAGAGAGAGAGAGAGAGAGAGAGAGAGAGAGAAAGAACTTCTCTGGACTGTTTACTGAGCCAAAGAGTGACTGTGATTGTGTACCTGACTGGGGGGCAAAATTTGGGAAACTACCTCTGGGACCTATCTAACTGCTGGCTCCTATGGGGGGTACCACTACGTCTGCATTTCTTTATTTTCACCTGGTTATTCTGACAGTAATGCACTTACTGTCCTAGAGCAAAGTGACTTAGAACTACGCTAGAACGCCTTTTCCTTTCCTCATCTCCATCACATTGGGAGAAGGAATTTTGTAGTTCACAGAAGAAAGCTGGGAAAATGTCAGTTCAGTGCACAGGTTCTGGCAAGGGCAATGGGATTTTTTTGTCTAGATCAACAGGTAATTTTTATGCTTGCAAAAAATGTACTTAGCCGGGAAAAAGAATATTAATACAGCCATCATTTCTAAGGACTGATAAGCTGCAATATATTCAATATTTGTTCTTGGCTTTAGATGATCTTTAATAGGTCCCTAGTGTGATGGAAGAAGTCACCATGAAAAATTCCTTGAAAGCTGTCAAGAACTTCAAATAAAAATGAATATTTCAGCTAGAAAGCCAACATTGCACCTTCTTGCCTTGCAGGTTCCTTGCCCTCCATGGAACCAGGGTGTTCAGGTGATTGGAGGGCAGGAAGGTGCATGTTGACCTCCCTCTATCCTACCTTAGGCCCTTGGGAAACACCTGTTTTTATTTGTTTTGTTTATTTCGCTTTGGACAAGTGGATGAGATATTGGTGATATCTTCCTTACCTCCTGAAGAAGGAGACTTATTACCTGCAAAATCTATGAATACCAATTTGCCTCATGTCAGTCTCTAGAAGAATCAGATTCATAACCTGAGAAATCTCAGTTACCTCCTATAAGTCTAGAAAGTCTTTCTTAATAAAGCTTAACTCCAAACAGCTAACTAAGATGACATGCATATAAGAGAATTGTTTTACCTGTCAAACTATTTACATTTCTGTCCATTCAGTCCTGAGAATTCTGTCACTCTGCAACACAGTGCTGCCCTCTCTAGCAGGGCAGAAGACCTGATTTTAATATGATGCAGTTAAAGTGGTACTAAACCTTTATATAAGCCCACTGAAATGACAAGCCCCAAGTGGTACAAAAAGATGAAGCAAATCCTTCTATATAAACTGTACCTGCTTTAGCTGCAACACTCTCTCTCCTTCAGAGCCCTCTAAAGTAAACAGATTAGATGGTATTTCCTAGCTTCCTAGAGTAGGGAGCAGGATCTGTCATCACACACTGCACAGTAAAGAGCATAGAGCTGAGTGTAATTTGACACCTGAGTGGATGAAATGGACACCCCCCCTCTACACAGCCTTACTGGGAAAATATATATATATATATATATATATATATATATATATATATATATATAATATAATATATATATAGCCAAAAGTATTGGTCGGCCTGCCTTTACACGCACATTGGTCCACCCTTTGCAGCTCTTCAGGGAATGCGGTCCACAAGATTTAAGAGTGTGCCTCCCAAAAGCGCATTTGTGAGGTCAGGCATTGATGTCAGATGAGAATGCCTGGCTCACAGTCTCCACTCTAATTCAACCCAAAGGTGTTCTATGGGGTTGGGGTCAGGCCGCTGGGCAGGCCAGTCAAGTTCCTCCACCCCAAACTCACTCATTCATGTCTTTATGGACCTTGCTTTGTGCACTGGTGCGCAGTCATGTTGGAACAGGAAGGGGCCATCCCCAAACTGTTCCCACAAAGTTGGGAGCATGAAATTGTCCAAACGTTGACAAAAGTTTTAAGCTGACACTTTAAAAATTCCCTTCACTGGAACTAAGGGACCAAGCCTAACCAAACATTACACTTGGCAAAATGCAGTCAAATCAAGTACCGTTCTCCTGGCAACCGCCAAACCCAGACACATCCATCAGATGGCCAGATAGAGAAGTGGGGTTAATCACTCCAGAGAACACATTTCCACTGTTCTAGAGTCCAGTGGTGGCATTCTTTACACCACTGCATCCGACGCTTTGCATTGCACTTGGTGATGTAAGGCTGGATGCAGCTGCTCGGCCATGGAAACCCATTCCATGAAGCTCTCTACGCACTGTTGTTGTGCTAATTTGAAGGCCACACACATTTTGGAGGTCCTTTAGCTATTCACTCTGCAGACAGTTGGCGACTTCTGTGCTCTGTCATTTTACGTGGCCTACCACTTGGTGGCTGGGTTGCTGTTGTTCCCAGTTGATTCCACTTTGTTATAATACCACTAACAGCTGAGCGTGGAATATTTAGTAGCAAGGAAATTTCACAGATGGACTTATTGCACAGGTGGCAACCTATCACAGTACCATGCTTGAATTCACTGAGCTCCTCAGAGTGACCCATTCTTTCACAAATGTTTGTAGAAGCAGTCTGCATGTCTAGGTGCTTGATTTTATACACCTGTGGCCATGGAGATGATTATAACACCTGAATCACATGATTTGGAGGGGTGTCCCAATACTTTCAGCAATATAGTGTAAAAAAGTCAGCTCAATGAAACTGTCATCCACCTCCTGTTTGCCAAAAGGAAGGGGAGAGGGAGCAGGTCATCACCATGAATTGCCTGGTATCACATAAAACTGCCAGAAATGACACATGCAGATTGCAAAGGAGAGAGCAGTCAGGATCCACACTAGGTGCTATGGATTAGCACCTACTGGACAGGTACACACTATATGCTTTGTTAATTTTGCCTGTCAAAGGCTTACCAGCACTTTAAGTAACATAAGTATTACCCTTCCCTAGCCTTTTAATGGACAGTGATAAAAGACTAACAAGCTCATTTTACTGTCACTCTGCTCTCTTTTCCTATCAGCGTACTCATTGCACTGCAGTACAACTGAATGGCTATTGTACTGCTTCTTCCTCCCCTAGTCTTTTATATTGCACAAGGATGGCAAGAAGGTAATATCAAGTCAAATCCAGGTCTTTGCACTGCACATTATGTGATGTATTAATGAAGACAGAGCTGCATTAATTTGTCTTTTATACCTGTCTGGAGTTCAACTTTACTCTTTTTTTGAATAAAGTAAAGTTGAAGCAAATATTGCACGGATTATATATATGGTTTATTCACCGACCTAAGGGAAAATAATGGTTGTACTTGGAGGATAACAAAAAAATCCTATTTTGTCAAATCATCTAGATCAGTAATCTCCAAGCTGCGGCCCGGGGGCCAGATACAGCCCTTTGCTTGCCTTGAGGCACTCTTCCTCCCACTGATACAATACACTATTCCTCTCAATGACCCCAACAATGGGGCATATATTCTGTTACTGACATCAGCAATAGGGCCCATTGACATCATAAATGGGGCCCTATTCCTCCCATTGACACAAACAACAGGACACTATTCCTCCCATTGACACCAATGCTGAGGCACTCAAACTGACACCAACGATAGGGCACTATTCCTCCTACTGACACCAGCAATGGGGCACTATTCCTCCCCCTAATACCAAAGATAACATTTTTTACTCCCACTGACACCAGGACAATTGCAAATCCCAATGGCCACAGACCGGTTCCCGTAATGTCTTAAGGACAGTAAACTGGCCCTTGGTTTAGAAAGTTTGGAGATCCCTGATTAGAGATGAGCAAAGTATTCAAAAATTCGATTCGGCTGATTCGGCGAATTCGAGGAATAAATTTGATTCGATGCAAATATATTCGCTGCGAATTTAACTTATAAAAAGGTGTTTCTAGGCTTCAGAGAGCCTTTATATTAGTGCAGAACACTGTACCTTTAATTTAAATGCCCTTGGAGTCTGCTGGGGAAGAGAAATAATACTGTCAGTCAGAATGACATGCAGATGAGTGCCGTCGATCTTAGAATCACCGCACACTTAACTCATTTGGGCAGTCACGGGGCCAAAACCAGAGTGTGGAGCCACAGTGTGGCGGTGGAGGCAGCAGCAATGGGAGGCCATACAGCACCCTATGACAAAATGGAACCCACCAGCAGTGTGAGGAGACCTGAAAGTGGCACATGGCAGAGTGTGGCGATGGAGACAGCAGCAATGGGAGGCCGTACAGGGACCCATTAGACACTCTGTACCTGGCAGCAGCATGAGGAGGCGGTACAGGGGCCCATGGCAGATTACAGGCCTGGCAGCAGCAATGGGAGGCCCGTAATCTGCCAGCACCCTATGACAAAATGGAACACACCAGCAGTGTGAGGAGACCTGAAAGTGGCACATGGCAGAGTGTGGCGATGGAGACAGCAGCAATGGGAGGCCGTACAGGGACCCATGAGAGACTCTGGACCAGGCAGCAGCATGAGGAGGCGGTACGGGGGCCCATGGCAGATTACGGGCCTGGCAGCAGCAATGGGAGGCCCGTAATCTGCCAGCACCCTATGACAAAATGGAACACACCAGCAGTGTGAGGAGACCTGAAAGTGGCACATGGCAGAGTGTGGCGATGGAGACAGCAGCAATGGGAGGCCGTACAGGGACCCATTAGACACTCTGTACCTGGCAGCAGCATGAGGAGGCGGTACAGGGGCCCAGGGGCAGATTATATGGGCCTGGCAGCAGCAATGGGAGGCCCGTAATCTGCCAGCACCCTATGACAAAATGGAATACACCAGCAGTGTGAGGAGACCTGAAAGTGGCACATGGCAGAGTGTGGCGATGGAGGCAGCAGCAATGGGAGGCCGTACAGGGACCCATGAAAGACTCTGGACCTGGCAGCAGCATGAGGAGGCGGTACGGGGGCCCATGGCAGATTACGGGTCCTGGCAGCAGCAATGGGAGGCCCGTAATCTGCCAGCACCCTATGACAAAATGGAACACACCAGCAGTGTGAGGAGACCTGAAAGTGGCACATGGCAGAGTGTGGCGATGGAGACAGCAGCAATGGGAGGCCGTACGGGGACCCATGAGAGAGACTGTGGACCTGGCAGCAGCATGAGGAGGCGGTACAGGGGCCCATGGCAGATTACATGAATCAAAGGGGGGCCTGGCAGCAGCAATGGGAGGCCCGTAATCTGCCAGCAGCACCTATGACAAAATGGAACACACCAGCAGTGTGAGGAGACCTGAAAGTGGCACATGGCAGAGTGTGGCGATGGAGACAGCAGCAATGGGAGGCCGTACAGGGGACCCATGAGAGACTCTGGACCTGGCAGCAGCATGAGGAGGCGGTACAGGGGGCCCATGGCAGATTACGGGCCTGGCAGCAGCAATGGGAGGGAGGCCCGTAAATCTGCCAGCACCCTATGACAAAATGGAACACACCAGCAGTGTGAGGAGACCTGAAAGTGGCACATGGCAGAGTGTGGCGATGGAGACAGCAGCAATGGGAGGCCGTACAGGGACCCATGAGACACTCTGTACCTGGCAGCAGCATGAGGAGGCGGTACAGGGGCCCATGGCAGATTACAGGCCTGGCAGCAGCAATGGGAGGCCCGTAATCTGCCAGCACCCTATGACAAAATGGAACACACCAGCAGTGTGAGGAGACCTGAAAGTGGCACATGGCAGAGTGTGGCGATGGAGACAGCAGCAATGGGAGGCCCGTACAGGGACCCATGAGAGACTCTGGACCTGGCAGCAGCATGAGGAGGCGGTACAGGGGCCCATGGCAGATTACGGGCCTGGCAGCAGCAATGGGAGGCCCGTAATCTGCCAGCACCCTATGACAAAATGGAACACACCAGCAGTGTGAGGAGACCTGAAAGTGGCACATGGCAGAGTGTGGCGATGGAGACAGCAGCAATGGGAGGCCGTACAGGGACCCATGAGAGACACTCTGGACCTGGCAGCAGCATGAGGAGGCGGTACGGGGGCCCATGGCAGATTACGGGCCTGGCAGCAGCAATGGGAGGCCCGTAATCTGCCAGCACCCTATGACAAAATGGAACACACAGCAGTGTGTGAGGAGACCTGAAAGTGGCACATGGCAGAGTGTGGCGATGGAGACAGCAGCAATGGGAGGCCGTACAGGGACCCATGAGACACTCTGGACCTGGCAGCAGCATGAGGAGGCGGTACAGGGGCCCATGGCAGATTACGGGCCTGGCAGCAGCAATGGGAGGCCCGTAATCTGCCAGCACCCTATGACAAAATGGAACACACCAGCAGTGTGAGGAGACCTGAAAGTGGCACATGGCAGAGTGTGGCGATGGAGACAGCAGCAATGGGAGGCCGTACAGGGACCCATGAGAGACTCTGGACCTGGCAGCAGCATGAGGAGGCGGTACGGGGGCCCATGGCAGATTACGGGCCTGGCAGCAGCAATGGGAGGCCCGTAATCTGCCAGCACCCTATGACAAAATGGAACACACCAGCAGTGTGAGGAGACCTGAAAGTGGCACATGGCAGAGTGTGTGGCGATGGAGACAGCAGCAATGGGAGGCCGTACAGGGACCCATGAGACACTCTGGACCTGGCAGCAGCATGAGGAGGCGGTACAGGGGCCCATGGCAGATTACGGGCCTGGCAGCAGCAATGGGAGGCCCGTAATCTGCCAGCACCCTATGACAAAAAATGGAACACACCAGCAGTGTGAGGAGACCTGAAAGTGGCACATGGCAGAGTGTGGCGATGGAGACAGCAGCAATGGGAGGCCGTACAGGGGACCCATGAGAGACTCTGGACCTGGCAGCAGCATGAGGAGGCGGTATAGGGGCCCATGGCAGATTACGGGCCTGGCAGCAGCAATGGGAGGCCCGTAATCTGCCAGCACCCTATGACAAAATGGTAACACACCAGCAGTGTGAGGAGACCTGAAAGTGGCACATGGCAGAGTTGTGTGGCGATGGAGTACAGCAGCAATGGGAGGCCGTACAGGGACCCATGAGAGACTCTGGACCTGGCAGCAGCATGAGGGAGGCGGTACGGGGGCCCATGGCAGATTACGGGCCTGGCAGAGGCAGCAGCAATGGGAGGCCCGTAATCTGCCAGCACCCTATGACAAAAAATGGAACACACCAGCAGTGTGAGGAGACCTGAAAGTGGCATGGCATGGCAGAGTGTGGCGATGGAGACAGCAGCAATGGGAGGCCGTACAGGGACCCATGAGACACTCTGGACCTGGCAGCAGCATGAGGAGGCGGTACAGGGGCCCATGGCAGATTACGGGCCTGGCAGCACAATGGGAGGCCCGTAATCTGCCAGCACCCTATGACAAAAAATGGAACACACCAGCAGTGTGAGGAGACCTGAAAGTGGCACATGTTTGGGGCATAACATGTTTCATGATTCATGGCGGATTTAGTCAGTTGTGTCAGGAACTGGTGGTTTGAAATCCAGACTAATCCACGCCTGATTCATTTTCACAAACGTGAGTCTCTCCACACTTTGGGTGGACAGTCGTGTCCTCCGCGGAGTTACAATACCTCCTGCCGCACTAAACACGCGCTCCGATGCCACGCTACTGGCCGGGCA